TCCCACCACTGATCTGTATTTATTGCCAGTAACTGCCTGAATAAGTGAATAAAATGGCAATATTTTCAGAAGGGTTTCACCATTATTTTTCTCAGACTTGAGAAGAAATGACTGGCCCAGGATCACCTAGCTGGCTTTGCACCAGAGGCAAGACTAGAACTTTAATAATTTCAGTAAGCTGTCTCTCCCAAACTACCTCACACAGGCCATAATATTCTTTTGTCTGCAGACTAAAATTGTTTTAAATCTTCAGCAAAAGTTTGATCTTTTTTTTAAAAAAATACTGAGCTGTTTTAGCTCATTTATGTAATCTGGCTATTTTAATAGGGCTGGGAGATTTTTAAGAAAAGTTCTTCAGTCTGCTTTTAGATATTATTAACTATTGCATTTTCATTGTTTTATTTTTTTTATTTTTTTCCAAAAGTTTTATTATTTTTTTAAAAAACAAACATACAAACAAAACACAAAACATAAAAACATAAACATCTTTTTTTGAAAGCAGCTTGATCCCGGGTTACATCTCTTTGTACAGACATAAATTCAAGTTCATGCTCACTTTTATATACCATTCCATATCTTATTACCATTCTACATTTTTTATATAGCTTCTCCACTCTTTTCACTCTCTTGATTCTATTTCATTTATTTCATCTCAATTTAAATCATTATACTTATATCCTTTGTCTGTCCTGTTTCAGCTGTCTATTATCTTTTCTCATTAACACAAAATTTCTCCTGTAATCACTGATTGGAGTATGGCACCTTTATATCTTTCCCCTAAATTTAACACTTAATATAATACATAACTTTCATTCCGATTCTGCTTAGTACATTCTAAAGCTACGCACTATATCTTAAGAAAATATATACATAAATATATAATATAATTAAAACAATCCATACCTATTAAACTCTATCGTTAAAATTAATATTCATTTAAATCTTAAACATTTTACACATTCCTTTTCAAATAGGTATCATGCTTCTATGGGAGCACTTATAAATTTTGCGTAGTTACTTCCCCCCATTTCACTTGTATTTTAAAACTTTATGTAATTAAAATGTTCCCATTCCTTCTTAATTCAATTCTCTCATATTTCATTTCATTTATTTTGTTCAAAAAAAAGTTTCACTGAGTTACATTGAATATTTTATCCCATTTTATAATCATATGTTGTTCCAATTTTCTAACATTATTTCTAATACAAATACAACAATACAGTCTTATGTACCTTTGCAGAATCTCTTTTTCAGTTATATTTTCACCCATTATTTCTAAATAAGTCCTGTTTCTTTACATCTTGTTTCAAACCTTTGTAGCTTCTCTTCCCTTCCTTCCTCCCTTGCTTCTTCTCTCTGCCCTTTCTACCCCCTTGTCTCTCCATCTCCATTTCCCTCTTCTGTATTCCTCTTTTCTGTTGTTTTCTGACATTATATCAACTTCTCACCTTATTTTCCCTTTTTGGTTGCTTTTTTAGATCTTAAATTCTCCATTCTCTTTCCCCCCTTTCCCCTTTCTTCCCCAGATGAAGTTACTTGTTCATTAAAGATGGCTTCTTCTTTGTCCCAATCTTCTTGTTGCGCAGCTTCTTGTAGTTTCTCATAGGTAGAGATCACCATTTCTAAAAAATGAAAAATGGAGCCAAAAGAGCTCTTCCCTTCTTGTTCCTCTTCTTTATATTTTTTAAATTCCATTTTCAGTTCATCCACAAGTGATGCTATTATAAAAAAAAATTAAACAACCATCCAAGTGTTTTTAATCATTCAACTATAATTTCTAAAGAAAAACAAACAAATTTTCCCTTTTCACTTTCATTCCCTGCTTCCAGATCTTCTCTGGGAGCGATGTATCTTTTTTAAAATTTAAATTCCAGGATACCTTGGTTGTTGCTTCTTGTCCCGGTCAGCCAACACTTTCACTTCTTAACTTCCTCCTGCACTTTCTTTTCCAGATGAGTGCTTCTTTGAGGCAGCCATTTCTGACCGCCACTCTTACTGCCTTCAGAAAAGGGAGTTAAGCCAGCTGAGGAGGGGAGGTGCGGCTCCCCTCGAACCCTGCCGGGTCTCCCCTGTCTTCAGTCACCTCTACAGGATGACTTAACCCTGAAGCCGGCTGGCTTGGGGCACTCCAGCGGCGAGCGCAGACAGAAACCGTGCACAATCGCGGATTCCTGCTGCCGCCAAAGCCCTTGTTTTATTTTTTTTCTTATCCTATTTATCATTTAAAGAACTGTATTTTGTCAGGTAACTAATAATCCTTCCAAGAAAACCAGAATTGTAGGCTAGATTAGGAAGCGGGAAAAGGTATCCCCTATGTATGTGATGCTAATCACTTACAATTTGCTGCCATTGAAATTATACAGACCTTTGCGGGAAATCACCAAGACTTAGAAAGACATGAAAGAGATTTTATTTCAATACAGATTTTAACTAAAGTTGCAAACATTTATTAGAGATGAACCACTTCAAGTTCATAAATGGGGCAGAAAAAAAGAAAATTAAGAATATTTGCTGAATATATTAAACAATACTTAATATTTACGAAGGACTCATGGGTATTTACATCCAACTTCCTCATCAAAACTTACTTTTACATTGGCAGCCCAAAACTGTTTTATTCCAGGTAAATTATTTGCCCCTCTCATTTATTGTCACCTTGCCAACTGTCTCTTTTTTAATTGGAGATGCCTTGAAATAAAGTTGGGGTTGTCTGCAAATGAAAATGTATCTCCCTGAAGCCATAGATCTTTCTAAACCTAGACATTTGATTTATACTGTCATTTAACTCAGAGGTAGCAACATATGGCCTATAGGCCACAAACTTCCTCATCAATACCATGTGACTTTTATGTAGGCAGTAGTGGTTTTGTGTCGAATGTTGAGTACCAAAGACCAAAAAGCAGACATGCCTATAGCATGGGCATGGTTATGACTTTTGTTTGTTTACATCCAATTTTTATAATTTTTATAAATAACTCAAAAATAACTCATGCCCAAAACTTCTTCCTCCACCTATTTTCCCCACAACAACTTTCCTTATTACCCATCCCCTCCCACTTGTGACTGTATGACTGTAACTTTATTGTTTGTATCCTTACGATTTTTATTGACTGATTCCTAGTATGATTTGATTGCTTACTGTGCCCTATGACTATTATTAATGGTTGTACCTTATGATTCTTGACGAATGTATCATTTCTTTTATGTACACTGAGAGCATTTGCAACCAAGACAAATTCCTTCTGTGTCCAATCACACTTGGCCAATAAAGACTTCTATTCTATTCTGTGTTGCACCAATGCAGCGGATGCGGGTTAGTTTTCTGGACAATCCCGTGAATTGGAAATACTGCGGACACACAACCAATTCTCCAGGGAGGTGCTCGAACTCCCCCACCTCCCCCCAAAAAACCTCTCGCTTGTGGTTGGAGTCAAACGTCGATTAACCCACTATCATTAGTGCTGAAAAGAAAGTGGGCGGTATTACCTTCGTTTAGCTACCTGGAGACCCACGAGAGACGCTTCACTGCATCCCGTTCCTACGCGAGTGTCCGGGTTGAAGAGTTATTTTGCTTTCGTGTAATTGGCGAAGTATGCCACGAGCTGAACTCCGAGCGACAGACCGCCGCGAGGTTTCGCGTGCTCCGACTGTCAGTCGAGTCCGCGCCTGCCCGCTTTGTGCCAACTTTTGGCATTAGCCTGGCTTCACTTGAGTAAACGCCCCGACTTTTCTCAAGACCGGTGTGAAGGAGGTCTCGGTCTCGGTCTCAGTCGCAATAACCCCCCTTCTGCGCGAACGGGATGCTTAATCCCGGCGGGCCCTCATAACGCGCGCAGGCTTTCTAGCACCCTCAGCCTGCCCTGCGCGAGGGATTAACGAGTTAATTCGTCAGCGCGCAGCCGGATAGTTCTTTCTTTCTCCCCTCCCACAACCCGCGCACAAACGCGCGCACACACACACACACACACACACACGCACCCCAGAGGTTAGCGCGCTTTCGCGCCCATTTGTTCGGTCCCTGCGTGTGTTGTGTGGGGGGTGAAGGCTCCGTTTTCGCAGGGTCGGCGGCCCCCGCAAAGCGCCTCTCCAAGCGTCTGCCGCGCACAAAGGGAGGAAAAACCCGCCGCCCTCGCGCGCTTTCCTGTACGCTTCCTTCCAAAGGGCGCGCGCTGCACGTCCCGCGACGGAACCGCATCGGAGCCTCCGGTGGGTGCAGAAACCGGGCTTCGCTACCAGCCAGGGTGTGAATCCTGCCGCGAGGGGGGATCCGGAGGAGGCGTGGCCTTTCGTTAGATGCCGACGGAGGCTAAGAGGGACGTTCGTGGGAGCGGGGCGGGATTAAGCGGGTGTCAAGACTCCTCTTGAGTTCTGCATGGACACGCTTTCGTGGTCCAGCGGGGCTTCGCGATTCCCCTTGAGGCGTGCCTGCCGCTGATTTGAGCCCCTCTGCGCTAAGGCAAGAAGATTAGATGCCGCCGCTTCTTCCCTGGAAAGATGCAGGCGTGAGCTTTTTTTCCGAAGCGGTGGACCAAATGGAAGGTTTTTCTGTGTAAATACTGAGGGTGGAGGGGGAACAGAAAAAAAAAGAAAAGAAAAAAGAAAGAAAGCTTCGCGAAGGAAAAGGAAGAGGGAAAAGCGATTGTAAAGCTCATTCTCTGCCGTTTTCATTTGCATTTTTATTTTTTGCTTTGGCAACTTCCGCGCTCATAGGTTGTTGCTGCACACTATTCACTTTTGTTGGAGCACGTCTCGGGAGGCCTCGTTGAGCTGCGCCGGGGACGGAGATCTTCGGGTCCTGCAGTCCTAGCCTCTCAAGGAGGCAAAGTTTTTTCTTCTTCCCAATTTGAAAAGGAAAGCTTCGCTATGCAAGTCTCCATAGCGTGCACGGACCATAACCTCAAGAACCGGAATGGGGAAGACAGACTGATCAGCAAACAGAACACCACCGCTCCAAATGCGGTCAATGCTGCCAGAGCAAAATTCCGGACAGTGGCGATTATCGCTCGTAGTTTGGGAACCTTTACCCCCCAGCATCACATTTCCTTAAAAGAATCCACTGCAAAGCAGACGGGCATGAAATACAGGTATGGCAGACCTTTTGGGTCACATCTCGGGTTATCTCTTTCCCCCACCTCACCATCCTGTGCACCTCAAAGATGGTTATTGACAAACAAAGTTATGGACATAATTAAGTTCCTTTTCCCCAAAACATGAAACTAGAATCATTTTTGTTTAGAAATGAAGTCACCTAAAAAAGTTTGAATCCTTTAGAAATCTTGAACACTGGGTTCCAAATTTGTGGTAAATTTGGTTTTGGTGCTGGCTGCCTCCCATTAATTGGGATTTTGGTCTTTGTAGCCCCAGATAAGTTTTTGTAATTTCACCTAGTAAGTATTCGAGCGAAGAGAGATTTGATGGCTTCTTTCCATTTGTAATTAGGGAATTTGGATTATTGAATCACTCTTGAGGATCTGCTCAGGAGAAAGTTTGGCTCTCAAGGCACCCACTGGGTTGTTCAGAAAAGCAATATCTGTTAAACTCAGTTGGATGTTCTTTTTCCGTATTTATTTATTAACTTTATATGCCACTCATTTCCCTTTTGCATTCTAATTACCACTGAGGGGCTCATAATTAACTTCCTATCGACAATAGGGAAGGATTTGCTTTGAGTGAAATGTGAAGTGATTTGCATAATACAGTCAAGTAATAAGTGTTTACCTGCAGAAGTCTTATTTTTCACCAAAGAAGGCAGTGAAGACGGTTGCTGACTGAATTCTGAGATTCACTATATTTTATCCTGATTTTAAAACAGTATTTTTTTTTTACTTGCTAAAATGAATAGCTGTAATTAATGGCGTAGTCAGAATAACTCCTTCGAGAAGTCATTTATTTGGCATTTGAATAGTTAGTTCTTGAGTACAAGAGGACAAAGCACTTAGTCCCACACCTATCATAAGCGGGGTTGTTGCTTAGTCATCAGATCACCTGCTGAATTTACTGCAGTAACATTGTGAATGGTATTGAAGGTAAGCTCTAAACACAAGTTTTAATTCCACCGAGTAAAGAAAGTCAGTGTTTCTTAACACAGGCTTGTCCAGAGTAGATTCTCTGTACTCTGAGCCTTACAAACAGAAGAATATGCAAAGTATTGCATCTCTAGGCTTAGTTGATCAAGCTGATCAAGATAGCGAAAGCTTTCTTGTTCTTATAATTTAATGCAAGCATTTCCAATGAAAAGCACAACTTACAATGGAAGAAGTTAAGGGTGCTGGATTAGAACAGGAAAAGCCCTCGTTCAAATCTACCTTCAGCTGTGGAAGGTCCCGAGCAGATTTTCATGCAGCCGTACTCTTTCATTCCATCCCACATGATCAGGCTGTAATGGGGAACATTAGAGGGTATGACGTGGATCTCATCTTAGGGATTTCTCTTGGGGAAAAGCAGGAAGTAAATCTAAGACATAAGTTAAATCAAATCAAAAGAATCAAAAGATTTGATGAATCGGTTATTACTTTTAGACGGAATGTAAGAGGTCATGAATTTTGGCGGCACTATATATAAAGGGTCATTCATCTTTTCCAGATCACTTCAGTTAGGTTTGCCTATATATTTTATGTTGCTAGTAAAGATGGGATGTTATGTAGGATAGAAAGCAGCAAAATGATATCCCATCCGTTCTCCAATTTGTTTATTTATATCCCTCCTGTATTGTTTTTATAAGTAACATCAGGTGGTGAACAAATTCAACATACTTTTCTCCTCCTGTTTTCCCCATAACTTCAACCCTGTGAGGTGGGTTGGGCTGAAAGAGAGTAATAGGTTCAAGGTCAGGCAACTGACTTTCATGGTACTAGAATGTAGGCTCTCCTAGTTTCTAAACTTTTAGATCAAACTGAATCATCAATAGTCCATCTGTGAGAAGAGAGATCTTTTGTTTCTCTCTAACCCAAAATATTCTCAGTTGTAAAGTTCATGCTGTCTATCATGCAGAAGGTTTGAGATACATTCCTTGCCATTTCCAGGTAGAGCTTGAAAAATGTCAAGTTAAAATCCTGGAAAAGGATTGAAAGTCAATTTTGATAGTGTTGAAATAAGTGAGTCAGTGGTCTGATTCAACAGTCAACGTCTTAGAGTTCTACAATTCATCTGATGATGGCCTTCCATTTACATCCTTGACCTGGACCCAACTCCTTGATTTTTGTACCATCCATCTTGAAATAGTACATTTTTGTTTAAGAGCGGGAATATCACTACTTCTAGACTTGTGAGAGTTAGGTTCTAACTTTCTTCTCCTTTAAGAGACAGACCATTTTCCAAAGATACCTTGTAGCTAATTTTATTTATTTATTTATTTATTTATTTATTTATTGTTTGTTTGTTTGTTTATTTATTTATTAGATTTGTATTGTTGCCTATTCACCATGGCGACTCAAGGCGGCTTACAGCATATAAAACCACAATTTAAAACAAAAAAAAACCTTGTAAAATCAAATTCATATAGTAAAATCACCCGTACTTCCTCCCCCCCTCTCCCACCAACAGCAGATTACACAAGCCATTTAATGGGCTCCATTCCACTCTGGGTTTCCCAGGCCTGCTGGCAGAACCAGGTCTTTACAGAGTGTTCTAAAAACCATCTATCATATTCTTGTAAGTTGTACTACACTATGTTGTTTAAAGTTTTGGAAACATGATAAAAAGTTTTTAACTAAGTATCCAGTGAGTTATTGCTGATTATGTGATGTTACACAATAATACCTTCCTTTCATACTTTGAATATCCTGGCATTAACTAGGAAACATTTTCAGTTCTCTTTAATTTTTAACCGTCACCTTTTAAATTGGTTTGCTAATACCTTAAATAACAAGAATGTCCATTATAAATCTAATCGTTCAGGATTCTTTAGCTAGCCTTAGAAATATATGAAGGATGTCTATGTACCACTCATAAAGTTAGTAAGAATACCCTTTGATCAAATAAATGCTATGAGACGTAGGACAAAATCACCTGAATTATGCAACATTTGCAAGAACACAAGAGTTTTGCTGGATCAAAATACATCAAAATGTTCAACATTTGATATCACATAGTGACCAATCAGGAATCTGGAAACTTCAATCACAATCCAAAGAGAATCATTTTTTGTGTTGATGTCCATTAGTTCTAGTTATTCGAGATATACAGTGTTCAAGATTAGTAGTGATTGACAGTCCAATTGTCTCTAGCCCCATTTTAAAATCATATAAATTGGTAGCCATTGTATTAAATGGCAGTGAAATTCATTGAATAAAGAAGTATCTCCTTAGACTTTCCCACAATTAGGGTCAGTTGGTGATACTAAGTTCTATTATCCATATTTATGAAACATCCATATGCATACCAGGAAAATATATTAGATATATCCTTACCCATCCTGGATATTTCTTCAGTTTAAATTTTATTGATCAATTATCAACTTTGGTTTTATTCCCCATCTTGGAATGTTAATGAAGACACCTGGAGGAAACCAGATTGAACAAAGTTTCAAATATTCATGAAATCAGTATGGACTGTAGATGACTGCTTGGAAAGTCAAGATAAAAAGTATCATACTAAGATTATCAAAGGGACTTTGTTATATAGACCATACTTATTATCTTATCTGCCCTTGCTTTGTTTCTAGAATTAATGAATGAAATGAAAGTTTGTAATCACTATGGATCTTTGTCTAACTGATTATTCTTGACTTATCCAGCATATAGAGGTTTGAGAAGAAAAGGAACTGAGATCTTTCAAATCTTTATAAAAAGTTTGGGATATAAATTAATTTTGCATTTAGTAATTGCTCTAATTGAAGTTTGGCATTTGGTATTCCAAGAATCTTGATTTTATATTAAAAAATTTCTCTAAACTTTCTGAAGAATAGCTCAAAAATATATAATTTTAAAAAGATTAAAACTTAGGTAGGGTTTGGAGAATATATGAACTTCCAGGTGGAATAGACTTAGTTATATATATTACATAATCATGATAAACATGTACCTTTTGATAAGTAAAATTATTAGATAATCAGTTTTTGGGCTAAAAGCTGTCTTATGATACCAAAGATCTCTGCTTTCCCAAAGCCTTCAGTTGCATTATTGTCTTGAAAATTAAGTGTCATTAGAATGTTATAATAAATGTATATTTTGGTTCCTGCTAAAGGAAAAAATCCTAAATATAAATACATATAAGACTTTTTAGACAACACTTTTCAGCAGAATGGATTTTTTTTGCTTCATTATTTCACTCTTCCATATTTTTTTACACTATTTTGCCTCCTATGTCTGGTAGGCATTTTTTGAACTGCTAAACCTAAAAGGAACAGCTTCCTTCCTGAAAGAAACAGCTCTGTCAGTGTTTTTATATAAAGGCCACACACAAGAAATTATTGTATAATACTGTTGAAAGAAATATCCTTCTGGGTTCAGTTCCAAGTGGGGCAAAAGACACTGGAAACATGGAGGCTGTTTGGAAGGTTTAATATCAGGACCACATGGCCTGGAGCTCCAGAGTGAAAAGGAAGGATAATCATATGCTTCAAGCTGAAGGAAGAGATTAAAAAAAAAAGGACTCAGGTGCTGAGAGTGCCTGGGTTTTGTACCCTCTGTTGGGATTTGAATTTGAGCTTGTATTCTGATTGGTTGTCAGACTCCCATGAGGGGCAACTCTACCCTGTCCTGAGTTCCAGGCTTGGTTGAGCCTTGCTGGATGATTATGCCCTTAAAAGGGCTTTTGGCAATTGCTATAGCTTTATCTGGAGATCTTTGTTATGTAAAGTATTCTGGCCCAGGCCTTAAAGGCCCACCCATTAACAAAGGTGAGGGTGAGTTTCTACTTCTGAGGTGAGTTTCTGCTTCTGAGTTTCTACTCTTTTTAGAGGAAATATTCTGCCTCTTTAATATTTCCTAGGCTATTTCAATTTTCCAGGAGAGGGGTGGGTGCTAACTTCCTACAATACAAAGGTTGAGCAAACAGGAGATGCAATGACAGGGAGAAGAGGGTCATTAATAGCAGAGTTTGGCACTACATCATAGATAAGCAAGAGAAAAATATTAGTTCTAGT